CCAGCCAGCCTGCCAGCAAATTGTTGGCTCAGTGGTGGCAAAGGCTGTTCAGTGGTGGTGGCGATGTCTGTGATGGCGACACGCACGCACACACACGGGCCTCTCTTGTAACCGCCAAGGGAGTGGTGTGCGTTTCCTCAAGGCTTCCTGACGGACGCAGCTGGAGCGAATGCTTAATTCATTGGCAATGGCCGTGTCAGTTTGGCACTTTCATCGTGTGGGCAGTGCCGGATTGTAACCCCTGGCAGCCGCACACAATGGGGCCTGGCTTTCCGCTCTGCCCCGTGTCAGGAGGTCAGTCTCCGGCAATTTCCTATCGGGGTCACAGGTCGCGAAGGGGCCCCCATTTCTTTTCCACTGCGCGCCCACTAGTTGTGCGGCTGCCGCTGTGCTCGAGACGCCCCCTTGGGGGGGGGGGGATCCGGCGACCAGTTCTTGCAAAGGCCCCCTTAGATCGCACAGATTGCCCTGGGGGTTAGTTCACACGGCACGCCACAGCCCCTCGGACGAGTCACAGCAGCATTGTGCAGCGCCCTGTGCGACGTGCCAACAGAAACCGGGATTGTGTGGGCGCGTGCGTGCGGTGCTGATAAATGACAATTGCTGATTCACGAACTCCGTCGCACATCAACTTTTATTAATTTGATTGCAAATGTGTTGCTCTAAATGTTGCGATTACACCCGCCTACACGAGCAACAACATAAAATGTCGGAATGTGTAATGATCACGACTATTATAATTTACAGAAGGAGGCCTCTTCACGCCACCGAGTGTGAACACGCCAGCCAGTGGAGGCCGTAGCCGGAAATCGAACACAGGCTGTCAGGGCTCGTTGCACTGTAAACTAGACCACCGAGTCACCAATATTGGCGTACTGTACCGTGATATGCGACCAAATATTTTGCGTGCTTCTTCGTGCCTCGGTTCGCTGGGCACGCGATATGAAACTTTGCGGTTAATTTTAATAACTATAAATTTTGAGTAGAGAGCTCTGCTTCATCAGCATCTCTTGCTGCCTTCACCAAAACTTTGTAGCCTACGTCCCGGGAGGCACTGCTGAGATGGGGAGGCACCTCGCGTAAAAATGTAGAAAAACATTTTTTGCATTGATCTCTCAAGACTTTTAGAAATTCGTCACAGGACTAGGGTTGCCATCTGTCCGCGGTTTCCCCAGGATCATCCTCTTTTACGAGGAGATAGAAGTCCTGGAAAATCAGAATATTAAACTGGAGCAAGCCGGTGAGCTATGAATCCCTTTTCACAGAAGTCCAGTAAATCTGTAAACCTGCTCAGGATATTAAAGTACTGTTTTTTTGTCAGTGACGTGACGCTGCAATGCAACGCTCAAGACAATGCATTTACCGCGTCGTTCTCCCCCTCTTCCGGTACCATAAGATATTGTTCTTCCCTTGGACACATCTCAGGGATCTTTGTGCCCTCAGGAGGTGGCAACCCCAGACAGGGGCCGCCGCAGAGAGCGGGGCACAAAAGGTGCCTCGCATAAAAGAGGGGGCCCCACAACGGCCCTGCTGTTTAGTCGCTCATGAACGAGGGGGCAGCCGCGTGGCCTTCTGCCCTTGGGCCCACATGAACCTCTGGGCAGCCCTGACCCTGGTCACAAAACGGCAGCCTCTCCCCGACACTGCCCGCTTCGCGATTCGCACGGGTAGTGTCCCAAGACTTTCAACAGCGTCGCTCCTGGCGGCCGTCACACGGCCCACAGCCTCCACGTTCACGATTAATGAGGGGGGGGGGGCGGGGGGCCGACCGCCCGCCCATCCCCCCTTAGCCACACATAAAGAGGATAGAGCCTTCCCGGACGATGCCCGGGTTGCACGTGGAGCTGCGGGGCACAGTGCTAACCCGACCCGTTCAATGATTCTGCGACTCCTCCATCCAGATCGAACTCTCTTGTGGGCTCATCCTGATAATTGCTCGAGACGTCACCTGCTGAGCTGAATGAGGAACTGTTCATTTATTTACGCGCTGTTTTTTTTTAAGATGGCAGGCCCAAGTGGTTGCCTCTAACACACGCCGGCTCACGAGCGCGTTCCACTCCGCTCACGGGCAGCGGCAGGACAGTGGTTGGACCACTGCGCTACCAGCCTGGAGCTCGTGGATAACATCGGTAGCGAATCTATGAACCAATCCTGGTCCCCTCCAGGTCGGTTCAGCCTTAAATGAGTACCTGCCGCAGCGTGGTACGGGACACACCGCCCTATCGTGTGGGGACTTTCATAGGAGCATTGGCCCTATAATAGCACTTGCCCCATTAGTCTATATGTCTATCGGGTAACCTTTGTCTTTGTGCGTTTCAATGCAATACATCTCAGTCAGTTAACCCGTAACACTTGGGCGTGTGTCACGACCTCCTGCCAGGGAGCCTTCAACACTTGAAATGGCCTCAAAAGTGCACCTAAACTGGCACAAAGGCTGTGTTAACCTCACCGTCACTTAGTGGCGCATGACGTGTGTTGTTGTTGCGTTTCATTTTATTGTTGGGTCTCTAATTCTGGGCAGTTCTACGATACAGAATGTAAATTTCCAACACTAAAGATTGTGGGATAATCATTGGTGTAATCACGAAGAGGCTTTGCACATGGGCGTAGCGTGTCAACCAATTAGGGTCGCAATTCAAAAATAACCCGTGTATCTATCTTGCTTGACAGGCGTGAGAGATACTCGTGAAGTCGGTTCCATTCTCGGAAGGAGCCAAGTACTTCTTCACCCACGCTGGGATGGTTGACGGTGCATTCCGCTCCGATTGTGCGTCAAACCATCGACCCATTCCACGAATAACCCACATTTGCTTAAACTGTAAGTTATCATGATTAGATTTGTTTTGAAATCGTGTCTCTGTGGTCATCTCAAATTTGCGGAACTGCCCTCTATGCAGTTGCTTCAATACCGAGTAAAAATATATATACATTTGCAACCGTGGCTGGGGAAAAAAACTGATTTAAAAAAATCCCACATTGAAAGCGAGAGACCCTTGACGGATCGTGACGGCCTTTGGGGGAAACCTTCAACCAGCAGCGGATAAATTACGGCCGGCGATGACGTTGCTGAGATGATTGTAAGAGGATCTCGTTGAACGTTCCCTTCGCATAACTGTAGTCCCTCCGTCGCACGCACCCCGTGCACTGTTTGCATTTCCTTACCGCTCTCGTCGCCTTGAAGCGCAAAATGTGGAGCATTATGAGCAGTAGCTGAATATTGAAAGCTGACGGGGGGGTGGGGGGGCGGGCTTCATCCAGCAGTGTATCGACCATGGCTGAAGATGATAACGATGATGAGTGTTTTTTTTCGCAGGCCACATTGCCTCTGCTCGAAGCTGTCACTCCACGTAGCTCGTTTGTTAAGTCTAAAGAAAGTCTGCGCGGTCAAAGTGTGTGTTTTGCCGATCTGCCAACAGGCTCATCAGCGTGAAACGTCAGAGTGCAATTTCCCATAACTTTGCTCCCCCGCTCTGAAAGGCGATGACCACGACTTAAAACGCGCGAGAGGCGAGCAACAAAACAAATCTGCTCGCGTTTTCTTTCCCGGTAAAATACTCCCCAAGATCCTGTTGTCGTCGACCGTGCCGTGGACACGTAACGATTTGTTGCTCATACGGCGAACACAAGTAAGCTCGTGTGTTTCACGAGGCGCATTCATCATCATCATTATTATCATCGCCATTGCGCTTCATCGATCAAACACCAGGTGGGAATCTGTCAACACGAAGCGTCTCCTTCAAATGGGCTCCGGGTGACATGGCTTGCAACGCAGGAATGAAGACAATTGCACAACGACGAACGTTAACAAGACCAAATGTTTCTGATAGTGCATAGTTTAGAGGGGGTAGGTAGGGGGGTAGGGTTGATATTGTATCTACTTGAAAATCGATTTCGGTATTTGGAAAATCAACGGTCCTCAACGTAAGATCTGACAATTGCAGTGAGCACTTGGGCGAGTTGAACCGCAAGCAAAACAATAAGTGTCATCTCGAGATCTTGTTTGTAAAATGGAATGACAGAGCTGGAGGGACTAAAACCCATCGAAAAATCCAGAAAATATCCGAAACAACGAAAATAAATAAAAGCCAATACGAATGAGTTTGATACAGCACATCTAAATAAGGCCACAAGAATTTAGTATTTATAATAATAAAATAATAAAATGAACATCTGCTTTGTGTGCGAGGACATCGTGTACGCCTGGGAGTGATCTGGAGCAAGCTGCACCCGCTTTCTACCAGCTTTCACGACACACTCCATGGGAGGCAAATCACTCGGTTTACTGATCGTGGAGATCATTTACTTTTAATTGCATCGCTTGGCTTGAGATTAAGAGCAGCTGAGGACTTTTGTCTCACCCTGGCGTATGAAGTTGAACCCAACCACCTCTGGGTTTAGGGGCGGGAGTGGTATTTTTAGAGGCCAACATTACCAAGAAATATTTTTTTTCCTAGCTACAAGTACAACTAAACAATGTTTTATTTTACCAGGTAAGGCCCACGGAGCTATGTAGCTCTTTTTCAGAAGTGACCTGGCCACAAATAATAGCCCATCGAAGTAGCTTATCACGTGAAAATGTATGGTAAAACTCTCTAAACGCATTATCCAAATGTGGAGGGAAAAACCGGAGCACCCAGAGAAAAATCCACGCGACCATGGGGAGAGAGACACGCAAACTCCAAACATACAGCAGGCGTCAGGGTCGGGATCGAACCCACGACCTTCTGCCTACCAGGCGAGGTAGTTAACATCTAGCCACCGTGGCGCCCTCATGAAGTAACATTTGGGGGGCATGAAAGTAACATTTAGGGGGCATGAAAGTAACATTCATGCCTCCCATACCCCAGTTTTCTAGCCGTTGTATAATAATAATATAATAATATCACCATCAATACGTCACATCACTCACGACTCAATTGACGACCATTTCAACGAATTCGTAAGTCTGTGCGGAGCGCAAAAGTAAAATAAAAACACAAAGCGGACGAGTGCACCCTTACCGGCTTGCTCGAGTTGACCCTGTTTGGGCCCTGTGGCAGAATCATCTTCCCTTCTTCTCGCCGCCGCTGCTTCTCCGTGCCGTGTGTGCGCGCGAGAAGAGCGATCTCCGTGCGCTAACCGCTGGGGCAAGGCGCGCGAGCAGAGCGACCGCCGCTGAGATGGGGCGAGCGATGGAGCGGGCGGGCGGGTGGGCGGGCGGTTTCCTGGCGGCCCGCGCGGTGCTGTCCACAGTTCGGTGCGGGCTGGTGGGTGGATGGATGGGTGGTGGGGGCTGTGGCGATGCCGACACAACTTGGGGGCGATGTGGCGAGGCGCTGCGCTCGGACAAGCTGGGGGGTGGGTTGTCGTCACGCTCTCTTCGCGGGTCTCTTTCCCCTCGTCGGTGATGGCGAGTCGAGTCAGTCGACGGCACGGAGACCACCTCGCTCCTCCTTCTTCCTCCCCTGTAACCACCCCCCTCCCCCGTTGCCTTCTCGTCAGAGTGGCCGGGCGTGCCGCGTAGCGAGCGAGCGAGGGAGCGCGTCACTGAGCCGGAGCCGACGCCGTCAAACACAACTTCAATTACTTGAGCCTCCTCTCCATTTAGCCTCGACGCTTCGCTGATCTGTGGCGTTTCCAAGTTCCACCTACCCGGGTCGTACCATTCGCCGAGGCGAGGTCGGAGGGGTGTGCGCCGATGCAGTTGAGAAATATAACGCTCGGCGTCACGGGGCCCGTCCTTTATCGGGCGAGTCAAATTTAGCCGAACAGTCGTAAATAACAACAACAATAAACTCACCCCAAGCAGATGAATTTCGATGAGTCACCCAAAAATCCCATTGATTTGGTCGGGGTCACGAAAGCCCGCTTTGGAGGACGGTCCGCTCGCAAGCAAATGCTGCGAGTGGTACGGTCTCGCCCACATAGCTGGAATTCCTCGGGTCACGTGACTGCGTTTAGATCATCAAAGCCGCGTGGGGAGGGGATGTGCACGCGAGGCGCACGGAGCGCGAGCTGGCCACTCCGCACTGGACCGCCTGGGCCACTCCGCCTGAGCCACTCGGTCTGGGCCACTCGGCCTGGGCCCCTTCGGCGTGGCCCAGCGTGGCCCAGCGTGGCACAGAAGAATAATTGGGGTGGGGGGGGGGGGTGGTAAGGATTATTCGTTTCCACGCAATGTGCACGGCATTAAGGGAGCTCTGTGGGGAAGGGGAGTGCGCGCGAGCCACTCGGCGTGGCATCCTCAGCGTGGCGCAGAAGAAGAGGAGGAAGGGGGGGGGGGGTCACACGCGATGTGCAGGGCAGTGAGGAAGAGAGGCGAGCGCTTGTATCGCCGGGACGCACTTCTTTCGAACTGCTTTTCCCGTGTGTGTTTCGTTTGTCGTCCTCCCCCCCCCCCCCCCAAATACTCCGATGAACACGGTTGGCCACGTGCGGTGCGAAAGAAGTTCAACTTGCAGTGCACACGCACAGCACGCGGCGTATGCCAACGCGCGTAGTCGGGCGGGTTGTCCAGGAAATGAAATGACGGGGGAAGGTTGACAACGAGAAGGCGTCACCAAGCGGGCGCTGATCGCAAATATGGCGTGGTGACAACAGCACCTTTTATGATCTGTCGAGTGGAGCGAGGGTACGGCGCGATGGTTATGGCGAGGCATGGTTCCGCTTTTCTTTCTTATTGCCCCTGTGAGGATTGGTGCTGCTCCTGGTCGTACGAACGGCGGTGGGGTCGGGGCTGTCTCGGTTAACGCCCCGACGGAGCGCTTCATCGTAACGTGAACAACTGCGCGGCGAGGGAAACGAAAATCACTCACGGTCTTATCGCCTTTGTATGGGATCGTGACCTCACACGCATTAGACATTCCAATCAGAAGTGTGAGCACAAAATGAAACACGTGTAAGAGATTCCTCATCGTCATCAACGTCAGTTTTGTCTAATCCGCTGTTGGATGAATGCCTCTTCCCCCGCGTCCTGCGGTGCCACAGTCTGTCTCGTTCGCCTGAGTTGATCTCATCTCTCCATCTACGCGGCGGTCGTCCTCCGAGGCGCGTGCTCCCTCCTTTGACTGTCATTCCACCACCATTCTCATGCGTCGCGTCGTCATCACCACGACGATCGTTCCTTCTAGCGTCGGTGCGTACTTACCCAAACTCAGTGAATTTTCGTTACAGTCCCTGCAACAACAAAACACCACTGCGCCTTATGGAAAACATTGTTTTCAAATTAATATATTTTTATTAAGAGTTTCGGGTTTAGCACAGCAAGTACGGTACAGCGTTTGGAACGGAACGCCAACATTCTGAGACGCGTACAATGATATGTATACAGGGGGCCTTCATTGGGTCTTACTGGCGCATCAAATAGGGGCCATCCCTTTGCACGAATCCCGACCAGCTGCGTGCCACGGGGCGCTGGGGCTGCGGCGCTCTCTGTGCCTGCGCTCGGCCAGCCCCGGAGGAGTTTCACTCTGCAGGGGCGGCGGCGGCGAGCGCGGTGGGAACCGCCCTGCTGGGCCAGTCGGGGTCAGAGCCCTCCTTCCTGTGCTGGGGCCTCCGGGCAGCAGCGGCAGCAGCGGCGGCGGCGGGGGCGGCAGTGGGAGCGGGGAGGAGGAGGAGGTGGTGGTGGTGAGACAATGGAAAACACACATCCTCATCCAACCCCCCCACCCCAACCAAACAGCACGCAGCAGCGTCCTCGCCAACCAACCCCCTTTCCTCCCCCCTCCCCACCCTACTACACCCAACAACCCCAGCCCCAGCAGTGTAAATAAACACGAGGCAGATGTCGGCTCGGGTGTCCAGGACCCTCGACTAAAACTGCACAAATGCAACTATACGTGCATGTCATTATCGTCGGCTATGGTCAATCCACTGCTGGATGAAGGCATCCGCCCCCCCCCCCCCCCGCAAGCTGTTGCGTCCTTCACGATCCTGCCTTGGAATAATCCATCGAGCACACGAGCTGATTTTATCGTTTCATTTCAGAGTTGGACATCCTCTTGGATGTATTCCATTCCTTGGCCACCACTGTTTTTTTTAATAAATATACAGTGCATTTGCCCTGCCAATGTATGTTTAATGAGCTCTTGAAGTGTATGAACATTGCTCTTTATTTATCCAGGAGAGGCTCACTGAGTCTCATGTCCAATATTCCTGAGGGTCCCGCTACATTGGGATTTTTGGCCAATTCCATTCATGAGAGTGTTTTGCTTCACGTGGGTTGGATACCCGAGAGCCTAGAGAACCACCACACATACGAGTGGGTGACACTCAAATGCTCGTACTGATGGATTCAAGAATCTGTCCATCCAGCGGTATAGATGGGGATCTATCCAGAATCTATTTTAAACTGCCATCTCTTAGCCCACCGGCATCCCAAGCCTTCGACCACTATTATTCCCAGGCAGACAGGCCTCCCACCCTCAGTGCAAGCCCAGGCACAAACTCTGCTCTCGCTTCCGAGACCTGACAAGACTGCGGCGCACGTTCGCAGCGGTTCGGCGGAACCATCAGATATAGTGGCGAACTCTACTCACCATTTTCTCAGGCCGTGCGCGCATTGTGAGCTAAAATTATAACCGCGCCGATTGTGCGAGACCAACCCAGCATCTGGCCGCCCGGTGCCAAATTCTGAGCGCCGGGACAATGCGGCGATGGTTTATTTTGAGCGTCCTGCGTGGGTACAGCCAGCAACGCTTTGAACCTTCTGAAGCCATGGAAATAAACAGGGGGTGGGACACTTCAGCCACGAAAGGGCCATGTGGGCTAATTGAGCGATGGCTGTTGATTCCACGGGATGCTGGCGTGGTGTGTGATGATGGTTAGCGCACTCGACTTGCAATCTTCCAGCCTTCTGTGCGGAAGTTGAAAAGAAGGGTGCAGGTTTCTTAAATCCCCCCTCCCCGCCCCCTGCTTCTCTCCACTCAGCGGTATGGGGCCGTCCATAAATGACGTCACGCACCTAGGGGGGAAGGGTCAGATATTTGTGACGATGTGTGACGAGGGGGGGGGGGGGGGGTTTGAGAAATGTGACGTCACATCAAAATGCGCAACTTTAAATAAACATAGACAACACGTTCTACTTAATTACATTGATGTTTTAATAAATGTTTTCTCCTACAACATCAGAGTGCAGCGGCACATTAAATACGCACTACAATGAGAATAGTTTAAAGCGATTTGAAGCATGTTTCATTTTCAAAATGTTAATATGGTTTGGGGGGGGGGGGCAGAGCTTTGTGACGTCATATTTGAAGGGGGTCTGACTTTTTGTGACGCCGTGTGACGAGGGGGGGGGGGTAAAAAATCGTTCAAAATCGCTGTTACGTCATTTATGGACGGCCCCCTATGGATGGGTACAACAGAGTGTATCGGCAGGTAGCGTGTGGTGGGGTACAGTATGGGAACTCACACCGCATCCAAGACGTTTGGCCAGTGTGGAAGTGGAGGCCAAATATACCCTCTGGAGGACCCCTTTAAGAGTTCCCTCTCGTGGAAGGAGGCCCTTTGGTCTGTAGCGGTATCGCGAAATGATTACAGGGCTTGCACTTTTACCGTTGACCTGATGATTCCAGTATGTGAGCAGTTTTCATTTATTTGGAGCATTGGTCTGATGAAAGTCTCTGATATTTTGCTCACATTTAAATGATTTTATAACACTACAATAATAATGGCAATATACAGCCCTCTGTGAATCCGCTGCTGGAAGAAGGCGTCACCACACCATGTCGGTCACGGCAATTGTTTGACCATTCTTCACCATGCTGGTCAGTGTAGTCGGGTCGAGATGTCAGTCACCACCTCGTGGCATGAATTTATGGTAGCCGTGGCCAGGAGCCGGAAATAGCACAGCGCGCTGACCACTGCACCACCACTCCGCATTAAATATGTTTTTATTAATCGTATCGTGTGTGCTGCCACCCTCCCTAAGGAAAGCACCGAACGATATGACAACTAATTCTGGCGTAATTATATCACCAGAATATAGCCACTCAAACGGGTGAAACACTACACGCCACTGTACAACTTGCGAGTAAGTACAGGGTGATCCATTTATAGCTATTCCACTGATTTATCCAATGCTGATAGAATTAGTGTCAAAGAGATGGCTGGCTCCTTTTCACACGGAGGAAAGAGTGAGGAAGCCAAGTCGGCTTCAACGAGATAGGCGTGAGACGCGTAGAGGCCTTGAGACAAAACTGTTGTTGTTTTCATTATCATTCTCCACTAAAAATGTGCCCCCCCCCCCATTTGTGTTGGTCGAGGCACAGGGGCCGCCCTGCCAGTCGCGTCGCTGGCTCCCGCCGCCGCCGCTCGAGCTCCAGAGAGGGCCCTGCACGGGGCATTTTGGTGGAGTCTTCTTGGAGGCTCTTTCGAACTGGACACTTCACGCGTGTCAGGAACACAGCTAGCGTGCGCGTCATGCAACCCCCTCCACCCATCAGCATTTCCTGAACGAGTAAAATCCGGTCCCATTGTCTTGGGTTCGATGTACGTTTGAGCAAATGTGACTGACTAACAGCAGCAGCGGTTTTATCCTCATTAGGACTCATCAGCACAGCGTAGTCACCATTGCTCACTTCTGCGAAGTCTGCTAATGCTGAACCATACAAGTTGTTGAGTAGCATTATGAGTTTTCTAGCCTGCACTATTATCCCCGTGTGATGTTGGGAAGGGGTTTCTCGGGTCATTTCCAGATTCGAGCTTCCACGCCGGCTATAAAACAAGCTTTGCAAGAGGTGACGCTCTCCACTTCGCTTCAGCGGGGCGTCTGTGCGTGGACTGCCCACGCACAGACGCCAGTGACGTGGGGATGCGTGCGGTGTGCCCGCGTGTTTAATGCGACGAGCGGCGATGTCGTCGTGGCTGGGCCGCCCCCCTCCTTAAGGTCGACT